GGTCTGTCCGAGTCGGTTAGATGGGGCCTTTCTATAATAATGTAACGATTTTTTTTCTTCTTTTTGCCCACACATCGTGTAACGGGCTAATGTAAATACTCTTGATCAACACTATTAAGTATATGCAGCACCAAAATTAGGTTATACTTGCATATCATTCGAAACTTCTCAACCGAAAATCTTTATAAACTCCAAATGGAACTATTAAAGTGGTTCAAACAGAAGAGTAATAAGATATTGTTAACTATTGCGCTCTTGCCGCGTCTACCTAGATAATAAAAAAATAAATGTAGATATGTGTGCATGTATGTACCCGATTTTAGGAGCGCCAAGTAATGTTGCTCAAGAGAGTACCATAACCACGCTAAGTGTGGCTCAGAGCATTGAAAAAAAACCATTATTTATTTTTACCTTCTGTTTACGAGCTCCCGCTGCTGCTGGCTCCGACAGTATAACCAACTATTCATACATACATACATATGTATATACGTAGCATGTGATTTGTATTGGCCAAACCTTTTTCATGTTTGCCTCCCATTCGCGCATTATTCTTTTTGCGGGTGATCGTGTGCGATCAGCAGTCTGAACTGTAGGTTAACAGAAATATTTTAAAGACATTGCCAAGTTGAAGACTAGCTGTTGGCGACTACCTAGCATTTGGGCCAATTCTGGCATACACATGAGCGCTGACAGTTAAGTAATTATCTGGCAATGCTGAAAAGGCAAACCAGTTGCATGGGAGTGCTGATGAAGATCGACAAACGTAGGAGAAACAGGCCAGAGGCAGGTGAGGTAGCATAATAGAAGGGATGTACTACTTAGCTGTGGAAACAATAAACAGAGAAAAAGAGAGTTATCGGAATTTGTTTAACTCTGCGCTCAACTCCGATATGGACAACTTCTATTTACAAGTTGGAGCTGTGAATTTTACTCAACGAAGTCGCAGAGCATTTAGTTGTAAAGTGAATGCCAATTTGATTACATCAGCGCTCGGTGTAATAGGCGGCTTTTTCAGTGCCGATGTGGCTAAATAATAAATAAAACAACAGAAATTCAACCGAAACTTTGTTTGTAAATTTGTGCCCTGCGCATACTTTAGCACCCAATAAGTGGCTAACTGGCTGGCGTGATGCGCAAGTCACAACCACTACTGCTGAATGATCAACATGAAGCTGCGCGCCTTGGCCTCCATAGCGGAGAAGGCGGCTCGGAAAGCTATTCATCCGAATCCTCATTCAGTGACTCATACACAGACAGTAGTGACTTAGCCAATTGGGAGGAGCATGTGGCCGAGGATGGAACACTTTTCTATGCAGAATATCTGCCACAAGCGCGACGCCCGATACATGAGAAACGCATTGAGTTTGCGCGCAGCAGCTCACTGCGCATGGGAAAAAAGACGGCGCGACGCCAACAACAACAGTCGCAGCAACAGCAGCAAGACCAGAAGCAAAAGCAGCAAGGCAAATCGAATGGTGATGGACGTCAGCCGACGTCTGCGCAGTCACCCGCGCATGAGCACCGTTTCTCTCACATTAGCAAGTCGCATGAAACACCCAACTACAAGCAATTAGAATTGGTAATAACGGCAGCAGATCGTTTTCGCTTCGGTCGACGCTCCACCGCCATAGAATCCATACTTGGCTTCCGTGTGTTGCCGTTCCCAGACCAGCCAGAGTGTTTAATGGTTGACAGCTTTGTGCATGCGATGCCTACGATGCTTCAACAACAACAACAACAACAACAGCAACAACAACAACCACCGCAGTCATCAACTGAGTCAACGGAAATCGAGCGTGGCGATTGGTTCAAGTCGTTGGATGACATCGAAGTGCGCGCCAGCAATGTGGATGAACTGCTGTTGCAGTTCGTTGAACCCACTAAAGTTTGCCTCAAATTTCAGGGCGTAGCGCGACGTGACACTGCCGGTGGTAATGGCGCTGAGCAAGCGCACGCAAATGGCAGCACAGGCGCCACTAGCGGTGCAGGCGATCTACAAAAAGTTGAAAATTTTGCTATGTTTGCGCAAGTATTTGAGAAGTTGCAGCTGCGCGCGCTAGCAACAGATGGCGAAAAAAGTACCGAAGTTGCTGCTGCCGCCGCTAGTTCTGATGGCACAGCTGACGTCGCTTTGCCATTTGCACTACTAATACTACCGCCAGAGTGCTATCAGAGTGATCAGCATAAGGACTCACTGTACTATTATCCTGAGGATGTACAAGCAAATTTTCTCTACAAAGCGCGCGGCAGTTTTCTCACTTTGAATGCCGTACTCACGGAGGAGCTGCAGACGAAACCGCTCATATCGCGTCTTCAGGTCAATAGCGTTACCTACTTTGTGTGCTACCGCTCGCTCAATGGCTTGCTAGTTCTGTTCGCTTACGCCGCCGCTTATAACTCACAACCGGAGGCGGGACTGCGCGCAGACGAACTCATCGATTATATACGCTTTGCTTTTCCCACGCTCAACTTGCAGCACTTCACAAATGGCAATACGTCGACAGCAGCGTTGCGCAGCTTCTTACACAATTTCTGTTCCATACAGCGCGTGCGCATATTGCGCGCGCATCGCAAGCACCCGGTACTTTTTGAGGAGCTGCTCAAAGAATCGCGACACATGCCGCTGCCGAAGGAGGCTCAATTGCGTATTTTCGATGCGCTAAGCGAAATGGAGGCCATGGATTATAGAAATTGGAATGATGAGCCACTGAATACGCATCGTGAGTTTTTTATACATGGCAGCGTGCTCTACTACGATCATTACTTACTCGCCTCACAAATGCCGCTGGAGGTGCGCGCCAATGTGGAGCTATTTCTACGCTGCCGTGGCATATTCGAGTTTATTAGTGAACAGAGCGTCAAAGAGTTGTATGTGTGGGAGGAGGTAGCCTTACCGCAGGCCACAGGTCGTTACTTTCTCACCATATGCAGCCGCAGCCACTTGATTTTAGCGGTAATTTTGAAAATCTTCGACGCGCCTGACTTATCGCCCAACGACATTGTGCCGCCCTCGCTTTTCTACATCGAAGAGATACAAGAAACACTCGATCATCTCATCCAATGCGGCATCGAATCTTTAGCCATCTTCTGGTCTATTTCTAATAAGCGACCCGAGGTGTTGGACAAAGTCGAGCAGCCCGATGAAGCCAGCGCCGAGAAGGAATCACGCAAAATAGAGAACTTCATAAAACAAAAATTCGCTGCTGCAGCCTCGGCCGCCACAGGCGGCACTTCGTCCTCACACACCAGCAGTGGTCAACGCACGCTTGCCTACGACGAGGAAACACATCTCTGTTCGTCGCTCGGCGGTTCATCCATACACAGCCTAACGCCGAGCGAGGATGATTCGAGTCGCAAACGTCTTACCGCAGCCACCAGCGCTGCCGGCAACAACGACGACTCCGATAGTGGCGGTTCAGATTGGGATAACTTCGGCGAACAGAATCCATTACATTACGGCTGCGACTCGGTGCTGCAGTCGCAAATGACCGAATCACTTTGGAAGGAAATAAATAATGTTGTGCCTGTCAAAATTTCCGCTGGCTGGAAGAATTCTATCTTCTACTACGTCTACGTCGACAATACCAACGGTTCGGTTTTCTGTCCGCTCAAAGCGAACTCTGAGTCGTTTCCTTTCCTCGCAGAAATGCGCAAAGCTTGCCATACAATACGCGCGGTGTTGCAGAATACGAAACATTATCGGCGTCTGCTGGCGCAAGAGAACACCAAACCAGCAGCCAGTAAGGGTATATTGGCCATTAAGGAGCACGGCATTACGATACAAGTGCGAGAAGTTATGACTGATGCAGCGGCAGCAGCATCGGCTGGATCGACTGAGGCAGAGAGCGTTGTGAAGGGGCGCTTTGTGGTTGTCGGACGGCTGTTCAACTCGCCGTTGAAGGAGGTGTACGTTTGTCATAAGCCCGATGTGCCGCAGAATATGGTGGAGATGGCTTTTCGACTCTCATTCTTCTCTGTGGGTTAACGAATGCGGATTGAAGTTGCAATACACATGTTTGTTTAAAAGTGTAATATTTTTTAATGTAATAATTTGCCCAATTATTTATTTTTTATATTTTTAATAAACATGCGAAATTTAAAAGGAAACCCCCTAAAAAATTTATTTTTGAAGAGAAAAAAGAGCGCTGTAGAAATCTACCTTCTACGGAAAGAATTTATGAAATTCTTAAGAATGTTTTAGCTAGAATAAAACTTGCAGCACTTCCAGAAGAAGACTCGAATGACGATAATTTTTGGATCCAAATATTCTTTCTTTTAATTACCAATATTTTTTACGTATGAGGTCGGACCAGGACCGCAGTACATTTTGACACATGTCAACTGCAACCAGTAAAAAAGATATTCGTCTATCAAAGTCTTTAAGCTTCTATGAAGTTGGTATAAAGACACGATTTTTCAGGTCACCGTTTCTCTTGGTCTACTGCACCCGACCCCTTATATTGTAGCTTGTTTGCGGCTTCAGATGTCCTCACCCCTAGACACTGCAGGACAGTTGTAAGGCGCAGCCTAAGTGCAGAAATTGAACAATAAATGACTTACTTCATATTTGATACTTATGAAATAACTTAAAGCTGAAGCGAACTGAAGGACCCCTGCTACTCGAAAGTAAAATGCTACTTATCTGAACTTTCTCCCCGAGGAAATCAACGACGACCCTCTTCAGACAGCTAGGACTTCTCGTCGACGGCAAACCAATTCCGACTGTGAACAAAGCCAAAATACTCGGAGTTACCTTGACAGTCTGCTCTCTCTCGACCTACACAACCGCAATTGTCAATAGAGCACAGACCCGCAGCACCTGGGGCCCAAGACAAAGAAACATTGTAGGAAACATACAAGGCAATTGGCCGGCCGATTCTAAACTATGCAGCGCAGTGGACGAAGCTACAGGCTTGCCAAAACGCGGTACGCCGAAGAGACACCTTCTTGCCGCAGAGTCCTCGCCTAGGCACGTCGGAAGGCATTTACACGAATTAACGGACGAAGTTTAGAGGTTCATAAAGCAACCGCTGGAAGCGAGAGCATACCGACAGGCCGTAACCAGCATTCACAGGGAGTCGGTTTCGACTTACACCGACTGCCGACGTGTGAATGCCGTTTTGGAAATACAGCCACCCGACTTGAACGAGACAGAACTTCATCTGCCGCGGGAGACACGCACCACCATAGCCCAACTTCGCTCTGGATACTGCAGCAGGCTAAACTCCTACCTGAGTACGGACGACAATGACTGATGGATAGATAACGAAATGGATAAACAAATGACATTACGACGGTACTTTGGCAAAACTTCGTACCTCAAAACACATTTTCACAAAAACACTCTCTAACAAAAAACTCTATTAATAACAACAAATTATGTTTAAAATGTTTTTCATTTGAATATTGAAGATTAAGGACTTTTTAGTTAGTTCAGAATAAAAAATATAATGAATCATAGTATTTTAAGGCCTATTTTGAATGAATTTTACGAGGTAAAAGTGATTTCTGAGATGCGAGGCTTTGCCCAAGGACCGTCGATTAGTAAAGTGGTCACCTGTTAATCACTTAAGAAATCTGCTGGTAACCGCTTAAAAATCGAACTGCATATACATTTCCATGAAGTATACGCCTCACCCTATATACCACGCACATTTTAATGAACACTAACTTGTAAATATGAATTCAAAGCATGTGAAATTCCGTTGACATTCACTCATTCCTCATTAACCCATTAAAAAAAATGTTTGGACTATTTTTAACGACAAGCATAAATCTCGGAAGCAAGCCCGAAATATCATAAAATATCAGCACAACGTCTGCGAACGTAGGTGGAGGATAGTACTATGAGTATGTTGAGGATGATGGGGAAAATCTCAAAGCATTTAGTGTTGAACAAGATCGCGACGCGTGTGAAGGTGACAAACGACAGCGCCGGCCGAGTATTACATACATATTTCGCAGCGGTAAAATTCAAGCGCACACATTTTATTTATGAACACTTGAACGCACAAAAACAAAACAAGAGTGAATAATTAATTTCCATATAATAAAGAAAGTAGTGAATTGTTTGAAGTGTATACATAGATGATATATATCGCGTGCTTATCGCTAAAGCCAAATATTTAATAAAATGGAATACATTTATCGGCGATATTTCAATCAGTAGCTATAAATTAGGTGATAGAAAAAAGTAACTACGTATGTACGTGATCGAGTAGAATACGCGAATTCGCATAACATTCAAAAAAATAAATAAATATTGAAATAAGAAGGGATCATTGCATTTCAAAGTAAGATTACAAATATGCAAAGCAACAACACCAACACTAATCCAAGGTTAAAATTTAAATAAAAGTCGGTAGCAGACACAACTGCGATAACAGCGGTAGCACTGTAGATAACTGAAGCTAAGTAGAACCAAATAGAAAGTATTCAGCAGCGCAGCACAGCGCATTGTGCAAATTAGACATACACACACACACACACACACACACACACACACACACACACATACTTAGATACATTATGTGTGCCAGCGTTCCTACAATGATAAGCGTTGTTAAATTTGTCCGTTTATTATTATTGCCATGGCTATTATTTATGGCCAGCAATTCTACTGTCAACATTGTCGCTGCAAATGGGACGCCAATAAGTCAGCCACAACAGCAGGAAGTGTTATTTGTGCAACAACAACAACAACAACAACAGCAACAGCAAAAGTGGTATCTTCAGCAATTGCAACAACAGCAACTTCAACAACAACAACAGCCGCCTAATCCGATATTTCCCGCCATGCCGCTATCGGCACCCACAACAAACGCCGCCACTCAGTTGTTACCTGAAGCGGCTAAAACAGCTGTAGAGGATCTTACAACATCAGCGCTACCAAATGGAGTAGGTAAAATGAGATGAGGCAAATATGTATGAAAGTATAGAAATAAAATAAAATAGTAATGTGTGTACAAAACAATAGATATCTAATGTAATCAATATCGGTTGTCATTCGCTACTTTTTTCGAAGAAGTTATTTTTTGTTTTTTGCTTCATACAACCTATACATAAGTACATATGTATGTACATTAGACTGCATCACTCCCCATACAAAAAAAAAAAAAAAAATCGGTACTGTTTTTCCGTTGGAATTATAAAATCTATTATATTTTAAGACGTCCACCAAAATATTTCGGAGACATATTAAGATTTACGTGCGCTGGAAAATAAAGTCACTTTCGGATTTCTCTAACAAAATTCATATAGAACAAAGCTTAAAACTTTTTAAAAGACTACAAAAAATTGTACAAATTTTTACCCAAATTTCAAACTTGGAAAAAGAGTTTTAGAAAAGAGTTTGGTTTAAAAGAGTTTTAGTTTGAAAATATTTTGGAAAGCGGTGCCACCTGTTTGAAAAGTCAAAAATTCAAATTAATTATTCGCAAGCTATCTGAAAAATTAAAATATGGATGTTAAACGAAAGATTGTTAGAATATTATTGAGGTGTTTTACAAGGGTTGCCACCCGTTTAAAAATTGAATTCAATTAATTTAAATTAATTACTACAACATGGGTATCAATCGAAATGGGTTTGAAAGGGCTTCATTTCTAAACTATATTAAGTAAGAAAAAGTATCACAGATAGAGGTCTAGTTTTAGTTTGAAAATATTTTGAAGATGGTTAAAAAATGTAAAATCTCCTATTTTTGGCATAGTTTAAGTACGTTGAGTTTTATTGAAGTAAATTACACCGAATGCAGCACGCAGTAATTTCATATTGGGACAATTTGTTTTTTGTAGTTAAAAGATTGGTACAATACAGCGATGTTCTAATGAAAATTTTCAACCAATTAATTTTCGTGATTGGGATAAAGAAATATATTTTGGGTGTTCACACAATTGGGATACGATTTGCACCAAATTTTGGCAAATACCCAATCGCGTGACACTGCCTTTAAACTTGTATTTATACGGATGTTTTTAAAAAATGAACTATAAAAAACTAACCAAAATTAAATAAAAGCAAAAATAATATTTTAAAACTTGTGAAAATTTGGTGCGGCTATAATTTGTTCGACTACTGCACATAAGTTGACTTGGCCGTGCTATCATAGTACCACAATGCCACTAAGCGCATTTTAAAATTTTCAGGCAATAGCCTCATGCGATTATCGATTGTATTGTTTGTTGTTTGTGTGAAATATTTTATTTTTATCAGTATTTTTCTTTTAATCAAAATATTTTGAAATAAAAGTGAAATTAAAAAAAATTTTGCGATTTCCACGGAACTGCTTGTTCAAAATCTGTCACGCAAAAGTTTGCAAAAATAAAAAAAATAAGCAGAGATAAATAAAAACTTTAACTGCAACGAATATGTATGCGGAACTTTTGTTATCTTTCAAAGCTTGATTAAAAGTATTTAGACGAATTTCTTCGAAAAAATCTACACCTGCGGTCAACTACTTAGGGCCGAAATTCAGAATTTCAAAAATTTTAATTAGAATATTTATTTTCGGGTAAGCAGTTTTGTAGCGTATTCAATTTTAGTCCAAGTTTCAAGTCGCTAAAAACTACCGTTGATTTTTTAGATTTTTATGTAGAGGGTGTTGCGCATTTTCCTCCATATAACCCATATAACCCCCTTTAAGTGACTAAAATTGAATGGGCTACAAAACTGCATACCCGAAAATTTTCTAAATATTCTAATTAAAAATTTAGAAAATTTGATAACATCATTTTGAATTTCAGTGCTAATTAGATGGCCGCAAGTGTATGTATTAATGCATACAGTAATATAATGCAGGTTTCATAAGGCAAAGCAAGCTAACTATAGACAGAAAGTTACTAATTCATCAAAAAGTCTGCTGGTACATTTCCAGTTAGGATTAGAATCCGAGTTTATGCATACGTATTAAAGAAAAATAATGGCGGATTATATTATTAGATATAAGCTAGGAAAACATTGTATTTTTTGCAGATTATTCAAACGACACCCTAGGCTTTGCAGAAAACTCAATCAGTGACGAAGCCGATGAGAAGCTGCCTAGCGAGATTCAAAAAGCTGTTTGTACAGTGACTGCAGGTGAAGTACGTGCAAGCGCAGAAGCTGTTACCACGAAAAAGCTCAAAGGTGTTTGTGGTTCGGGTAAATATATAGCTAAAGTTCAAGTTAGTTTTACTCTAATTTATTCTCCAAAATTTTAAGCCGAGCTTAAGTTAGCCTTTAGTGATTTGGAAGCTAAACTCTATAAGGAATTACAAGAAATAAAAACACTGCTGCAATACATAACGCAACAGCAGGGCATAAATGTGCCGCAAATGCTTGGGTCAATGGGTTTTATAAGAACACCGCAAACGCAGTTAAATAGTGTTACAGCAACAAACCCCTACTCGAGCACTTTACCAACATCAACAGCCAGAACACCACAGTCACCAACAACTACGCGCACGCCACAGCACAAACCTTTAGCTAGTAATAAACCGACTATAGCCACTAAACCGAATTTCCAACCCATCATAGAGCCTAAGAGTAATGCCGTGGACACATCAGCTGAAGTCAGTTACGAATACGAGGAGTCGTCAGCAGCTGTGGACGCTGAGGAGACGTTGACCAAAAAGGCGCCACAACTTAAATCGTTTCATACCAAGAATCAAATGTCGGCGCCACCCTCCTCCAATGAATTGCTACAGGAAGTGAGAAAATTCAATAATACAATGTTAAGTGATCGCGAAATGAAGGTATTCACTTACTATTGGAAATTGGACAATTTCACTGAACGCATTGAGAGTGGTAGTAGTACGATGGTGGAGAGTCCGGTATTTTCAATAAAAGGTGTGATTGCCCCAATTGTCAAAAAAAAAAGCAACAGTTTTCACTTTCAAATTTTCCCCGTAGCCAAGCCATTGCAGTTGAGAGCATATTTCCAGCATCTCCATCGCGATTTTCTTTACCTACAATTGGCGCATGCGAGCATAAAAAGTAATAATCGGAATAATATCATCATCGATATGGGCGGTTTATTCAAGGAGATTGCGAATGATAATGTCCGCTTTAAGCATAAGATATCAGTACTCAACCAGGTAAAATTCTACTTGTTATTGTTAAGATTTTGTATATAAGTAAAGGGGGATAACTTGAGAAATTTTTTGTCGGAGATGTTATATGTTTTTTATTTATGTTGTTTTAGCAACCTGTTTTGTGCGCCTCTAACCATTTTACCAGAGCCCAATACCGTTCCGTACCGTGGTCTAGGCTTAGGGCAGTTCGGTGGATTTGTATGTCTGGGTATAAATGCTATTATTTTTTTGCATACCATTCAAATGCTAATCGGCTGTAATGGCATGAAGCCTAATCAGGCCAAAAAGGAGTTGAGATTTCCCGCTGCTTTGTAAATGGTAAAAGTCGTTTTTGTAAGCAGTCCTGGATATATACAATCATGTGAAAAATAATAGCTTCACGACATTTTTACCAATTTTGGCCATTTTTCGTTTGTTTGTTTAATGTTTATTATTTTTTTTATAAAACTCCAGCCCACTATCTAACAAAAACGATATACAGAAGTCTAAATTTCAAAATTTGTAGAAAAACTAGAAAAAAAAACTAAATTTTACAGCAACAAACTTTTTACTAAGAATTTTTAGAGAAAATCAATGTATGCAGTTTTATAGCCCATTAAATTCTAGCTTAAGAACGTGCAAGTTTAAATTTTTTTGCAGATGGGGTTGTTATTTTCTTTCACAAAAAAAAATTGTCGAACAAATTTTGTAAGGAAGAAAATGCGTGAGACCGTCAGGAAAAAAACTATCAAAAATCCACGAAGACTTTTTCTCAAAATTCTTAGTAAAAAGTTTGTTGTTGTTGTAAAAGTTAGTTGAATTTCTCAAACTTTTCTACAAAGTTACAAATTTAGACTTATATGGTGTTTATTAGATAATGAACTGTATTTTTATTAGAAAATAATAAACATTAAACAATTAAAACAAGAATAGCCGAAATTGGTCAAAATGTCGTGTCCCTATTATTTTTCACATGACTATAATTCCGTATTAATCGTTCAAGTTGTAACAAACGAAGTGCTTCGCATACCACAGTTACATATTACTTGCCATACCAAACATTTCTTACGAAATTTTGTCTTTTTTGAGTTTTGCGACATAAAATCCGACACCCGGAAGCTACGAAAAGTCGCCACCCACATGTCTCACCGTCCAATAATGCAGCAATCGAAATCACAGTGAAATAATTTGGCTTGTCTGCACCGTAGCCTTTCCTTATTTTTAACTTTTCTAACGAAACCCTCTAAACATTATACATTTTTTTTTTCTTTGATTTTTCTTAAGTGCTACAATATTCTTGGCTACACTGGGGTTTTTGAAACCTTCTGCTTTGCCACTTCCTTGGACGTTCGCCATAGATTTTTATAATAGGCGAAACTGCAATCCTTGTCGCCTATGCTTTTTAAACGATAGTTTTGAAAGTCAAAACTGGATAATTTTGCTGCACGAAAACTTTACATACATACATTTGTATGTATATAAATTCCAGCTTTTATTGAATCCAAAATTTCAGTGATTATCTCAGCAGATTTTTCGATGCTTCCTCGCCGGATTACCTAGTATATTTGTCTTGTCAATGACACTTATATGCTTACTACTCACAAGAGATGCATAGTCTTGCCGAGGTTGTCAACGTTCGGTTCTTGGCTACAAGAGTTTTGGAGAATGCTGATGGGTTGACTGGCCTTGGCCAGTTATAAATATGAATCGTTCCGGTTCCGTAGACCCGACTGTCGTGGGAATGTGGCGTCAAGGGCTGTCCTGCCGGTGACATATACGAAATAGTGTAAAGTGCCGCCTTTGATATATTCCCCATAGCTCCAGTTATGCTATTTATGATCGCATACTTTATTTTAGGTCACAGTTAATATCTTTAATAACCCTTAGAAAATTATCGGCTATACAATGCCGAAAAAGCTCAGTGCGTGTATTCCTTTTTTAAGTCCAACGCCGCTTTAAGTTTATGCAGTGGGGCTAAGGACCGCTCCACTTTCAGTCTTTAAGAAAGTTTTGCTGCCCAACAAGATCCTGAGATACTTTGTTTCAGTTGGAGGCGTGGAAGTGGGCACATCAATATTAGATATTTTATTTCTTTAAATTTTTCTTTGTTTTATATAAAATGTTTATTTATATTTGTAAATTCCAACCAATTTCTTGATCCATTCTCTCTTTTCATAAACTTTACGTTTTAATTTTAAATTCTCTTTCAGCACAACCAGCGTTCGAAGGATTTAATTTCGCAGGAATTTCACAATCTCGAGACGGGCTTTCTCATACCAAATAGCGCACTGCTCGGCAGTCCATTTATCAAAAACGATTCATTGTTAATACAAATTTTTCTTTATTTATAATTTATTTTCTTTTTATTTGCATAATTTTTCTTTAATTGTATGGTTATACGAGTACCTTTTTGTAAAGAATCTGCTATTTTTTAATCGCACACAATTGCATATATTTTATTTAAATGGTTAACTTAATAAGAATTTTCAATACGGTTATTTATGAATTTATGAATTTTATTTATAAGCAATTATCTAACATAGTATGTAACTACATATCTAATCAGGTGTAAAATTTAATAAAAACCAACAACAATGAAATTGTAGTCTTAATAAAAAATATACAAATCGGTAAACACTTGTTTTCTTTTGAATGTTAAAAAAAAAAACAAAAAACATGTAATACAATTTAATGCAACTCACCCAATTAGCCGATGTGAAAGCAGGATTTTTCATGATTATTTTTTTTCTTTCTGTTCCTTTTTCTTAATAAATAAGCGAATTCTTTAGCGAAGTACATACATACAAGCACGCGCCCACACACATACATATATTTGTATAGGCGGGCGCATGCAATTTTTTTTTAGCTATGCAAATATTTATAATTTACTACGCGCTCCTTTTGATTTAATATCCAAAACTGGCAGGCAAATTGGATATAATTCTTTGCTTGATTTGAATGCTTCCAAATCGATGATTTTCTCATGCCGTTCCATATTTGTGATTTCGATGGCTTCCTCTTCGGGCGTTTCCGCTTTTTTGTCGTCTTGGTTTAGCTGCGTGGAAATAATATGCACGGAGAGTACACGTCGCTCGGGACCATCGCGAGCAATGAAGCTCTGTAATTATCGAATGGAAAAGATAATTAAGTTTTAGTTAAATAAAGATAAATTACTACAAAAAGAGTCATTAAATAGTAAAAAAAAATCAGAGTAAAGCGCAGATAAACCAGGATAAAGATAAATAAAAGTAAAGGGATAAGGTTAAGGTTAGGGTTAATATTGAGGATAACGATGAAGGTAAAGATAAGAATAAGGATAATACGGATGAGGGATAGCAATAAATATTAAGGGCAATAAGTATATGAATGGTAAAATAAAGGATACGGATAAAAACAACGATAACGATGTAGATGTAGTATATGAAATAAAAGAAGTCAAAAGTAAAACAAAATATTGAGATCAAATTACAAATAAAGGAAGAGATACTAAGAGAGAACGGTTACGCAATAACAACGGTACTCGTATGAAAAAAAAAACTGGTTAAAATAGCACTAACAGTACCATATATCTGATATATCTAATTTTACAGTAAACTTTTGTCGTAAGTATGGGGATTTCAGCTAAAAATTTTTACAAAAAATCAATTTCGAATAAAAGACACTACCACAATTTCGGGCAAAGGGGTCGATCTTTTTATATATGGCAACAATATCGTATATTTTGAGCAGAAATGCATTCAAATATTTATGTAAATATGTATATGGAGTGACTCAGAATGAGACCCTGAGCATTTGATTGTCAACAGGAAAAAACTTCTCATAGCCATTCTCTTAAAGTTTTTTTGCAAAACTTTGAATACAACATTTTGCGTGTTTCAAGCCAAGAAGAACTCCATACTAAGCAGAAAGATTCGATCTTGTTTAAATTCTTTAAAAGATTTCGTGTTATTTTGGCCTTCTCGGATTTTCGTTGCCTCTTTTGGACTTAGCAAATTTGCCTTTCATTTAATATAAACTAGGAAAAATAAAACAAGTACTTTAATCCTTTTCGAAACGATGCATTTTTAATTTCCCTTGCTTACCTTTTGAAAATATGAATTTTCATAAAAAGTGGACTTAGCAACTTTTCACTCAGCGAAATATGTATGCTTAGTTAGAAAACAGTTTGGAGTTAAAGAAATCTGAAGAGACTTGGCGATCATAGAGGCAAATTTTGGTTGTTTGATAGCAGACATTTTAAAGTATGTATGTATATCTCTTGAAACAATTTTCTGTAGTTAAGTGCAAAGAAAATAAAATTGTGGGTTAGGCCACTTTTGCTTTCATGGCCTCATAAAAAAAACTCAATATATTCCCCGAACTATGGACCAAAAATGGTAAAAAAGCGTTCTTAATTTTTCTCTCTGACGTCAGATTTTTTTTAAAGGACTTCGAAATTTGAAAAATATTATTACTTCAAAAACTTATTTAAAAAACTCAAAGCAATGTACAAAGAAAAACAGTATGGGTATCAAAGTAAAGGTAAAATTCGTAGAATTAAGCATTAGGACAAATGTCCTTTTAAAAATTGTATCCTTGAATATCCTTGAAATTTTGCATTACTTATTTTTGAAAAAATTATATGTATGTTAAGGTCTAATATAGCTTTATAAGCTTAAAAATTAAATTAATTTTAAGGTAATTTTCGATACCTATTCGTCCTTGTGGACCAAAAAATTCTAAAAAATATTCTGTTTCATTTGGTGCCCATGTTGTTATTCTACATTGCACTGAATTTTTTAAATAATTTTTGGATTCCATCATATCTGTGAGACTACAAAGAGAAAAACTAAAAACGCAGTTTTACTATATTTGGCCCAAAGTTTCGTGAGTATATTGATTGCCTTGCGTGTTTCAAAATTTGAATTTTGTTTAATGGAGCTCGCATTAGGCGCTTTAGCCTTTGTTTTCTTTTCATTCATATATTTTTTTTTTTAACTTAAAATATAGGCAAATTTTATAAGAACTTATGTATAAAAATTTACCTTAAAGCATTCCAAAAACTCCTCCTTAGTAATCTTACGTAAGATTGCCACTTCTGCTTCATCGCGTTCGAAATGATATTGTGCCAAAGCGATTTCACTATAGAATTGATGAAATTGTTGAGAAACATTTTTCGGTTTTTCCAACTTCTTCAACGCTAATGCCTCTTTGTGGCGCTCGAATTCGTCCAAAGGCATTTCCTCCATGACTTTCT